CCGGTCACATGGGCGGCAAGCCACCCCCATCCAATCACATGGGTGGCAAGCCACTCCCACAAATGAGACCACACCCACAGAGTAGGTTCGAACAATTTTTGAAAACCACCACTGGTTCAGACGGTCGCAAAAGGGGATCACATGATTCAAGGACACTGCAATTGTCATAAATGTGAGTCAGTTGTCAAGCATCCGAATGTAAATCACGTGCACATGTAGAAGCTGCAACAGTCATAAGTGTGAGCAAAACGAACTGTTGTAAGTCGAGGACCACCTGTGCTCCCTTTTATGCCAGTCACTTCACAGCCCGCCAATTTACGGCCTTGTCATTTCAGGATGCTCCTGGCTCTTCAAGATAGTGGGTTCCCGCTAATCTGATTTCATTTTCTTCTCCTTCTTGAAAAAGAAACTCCTGTTTTAAGAGGTTTCTTTTTTCAGCAGGGACTCCAGACCTGTCTTTGTATTAGTCTTTTGTTATCTGAAAAGCAGGATTCCTGGAGAAGCCTTAGGAAAAGTCCAAATAGTTGACTTCCAGCTGTTAGCTAGAAATTCCTTCCCCCCACTGGTGGGATTCAATTCTTTTTTACTGCCGTTTCTGTGGACGTGGCTTGGTGGGCATGGTGTGGCTTGGTGGGCATGGTTTGGTGGGCATGGCAGGGGAAGGATACTGTAAAATCATTCCCTCCCCACTCCAGGGGAAGGTTACTACAAAATCCCCATTTCCTCCCAATCAGCTGGGACACAATGGGGGAGAGAATAGATGGGGGCAGGGCCAGTCAAAGGTAGTATTTACCGGTTCTCTGAACTGCTCAAAATTTCTGCTACCGGTTCTCCAGAACTGGTCAGAACCTGCTGAATATCACCTCTGCTTCACCTTCTCTTTTATTATTCTATGGCTGATAAGATATTGAAATCCCCCTGAATAAATCCCCTTGCGAACATGCCTCCAAATAGAGGGACAAAATACCCACACATCCTTTCTTCGTTTCAGAAAACACAGTGCTGGGTCAAAACGTTTTCTTGGCAAAAGGACCCACTTTAGCAAACCTGACGTTATTTTTTTCTTTCCAAAGTTTAAAATTCTAATGTCCAACTGATATACAGCCGTTGTCTGGAGGCAAATGTTTCCAGTTTAATAACATTCCACATTAAATGGCACCCTGTGAATTTTAAAGCCGATTGCACTGGGTGAGTCATTAATCTCTTAACTTCCATTTCTCATGAATAATATAAGACATTAAAATATGTAAGCCTATCTAAGATTCATTTCACTCCTGTTTGTCTGATATTAATGGGGTGGGGGGGGACTAAAAGAGACCGACAGGTTGGATATGAGCCATGTTTTTAAGCTAGAAAATTATTCTGGGAACTGATTCATAGACTAAGGGGCTTATCTTATCTTAAAGTAGAAGAGCACACCTTGAAATTCCACAGCCTATGTAAAAGTTGGCAAGGACGGATCGCTTTCTTAAGGTGACGCAAAAAGAACACGATTCATATTCAGAGTGATCATTCTCAATGAAATCAATGGATTTAATTTTAACTAATTTTAATAATTTTTCCCCAAGTACAAAATGTGCTGCGATAGCCACACCCACAATGCAGAGATCTACATACAATACACTACAGGACTCTCTTCCTAGAAGAAACATTCCACATGCACAGTATATCTAAATCATTCCTGGAACAAAGATCGAGCCATTAACTGGAAGGAGGTGGAGGTGTGAAGAGAGGAAACAGACCTTTATGTTCTGAATATTTCCCCCCTCCTATCTCTGTTTTAAAAGGTAGCATCCATATTAATGGGCTGACGGATCGAAACACCGAGCTATAATATGAGATCTCCTGACCCCATTCTCCTTTTCTGGTGCAGAAAAGGCAACCAAACCAATCTTGTGTCTGAAATAATCAACGGAGGTGTCTTTCACCCACATTGCAGTAAGCCTACCAGAGGTAGCATTCAGCAGGTTCTGACCAGTTCTGCAGAACTGATAGCGGAAACAGTAAATACCATCTCTGACTGTTCCCCCCCACCACCAGGGGTGGGTTTCAACCGGTTCACGGTGGTCCCTGTGAACCGGTTGGTCGGCGAACCCGGAAGTAAGTAACTTCCGGGAACGGCGAAGGGCCCACCCGCCCGCCCGCGCTCCTTACCAGTCTTTGANAAATAGATTGATATCCTCCTCTCTGTGGCAGCCCCTCAAATATTGGAACACTGCTATCCTGTCTCCCCTGGTCCTTCTCTTCACTAGACTAGCCAAGCCCAGTTCCTGCAACCATTCATCGTATGTTTTAGCCTCCAGTCCCCTAATCATCTTTGGTTGCTCTTCTCTGCACTCTTTATTTTTTTATAGTGTGTCTGTCAGTTCATAGCAGTCTGTCACTTCGTAGCAAGCAAGCATCAGGTGGTAGCTGACAACGGCATTAATTTAATAATGAAATCTTTAAAAAAAGATTGTTTGTTTCACAAGTGTTTATGGCTTTAAAGCAAACTGACTCATCTATTTTTCAGCACATCTACGTATATGTTCACTGCATTTTTCATTGTACCTACAAGCAAAACATTCTAATGCCAGGTTGATTCCTTTGCTACAGTTTATCTTTAGCTCTTGTGGAACTTTTAAATGAGGGATCAATGGCTTAACACACACTGTAAATATAGATGCAATGCTAAAAAATATTTAAAATGAAGTATGATTTATAGTATTTGAAAAACAAGAACACGACACAGAGCATGTGCATTTTTTTTCTCCTTTACTGTACATAGCAGAGACAAAAGTCCAATGTAATTTATTACCCTATGATTATTTAATCATTAAAAAAGCAGTAGATGATGGGTGTAAAAATAATAGGAAGCAAAGTCAGCATTTCTCACAACCACATATATTATGGTTTGCAGGAATTTCCAGTACAGCAATTTTTAGACTCCATTTCTGCAGAATCAGTCTACAAGAAAATAAAAAAGGAAATTGGAGTAAACAAGAAGTCTAATCCTACTTTGAATATCCAGTGCCACCTTTGAATTCAGACATTTAAAAACAACTAAGCAGATTTGCTCCCTGTTCTTTAACAGGATTCAGCCTTTGATGCAGGAATAAAGACTCTCCCCGCTCCCTCTAAATGCTTTCTTTACATTCATCAGTAACCTGCCACCCAAGTTTTAGTGTAAAATGGAATCGGGGCAGAGAGCCCACTAGGAGCTGAGAGGCACAACCCTTAGGATTACAAATTTCCCAACCAATGGAGAACAGGGGCATCTGTGGGTGCATAATTGAACCCCACCTTTGCCTCCCTCCAGTTTTTTGCAGGAAATTTGAGCTTGGAATACTTGGGATATGTCTAGTACTTGACACCTGCATCCTCTCTATAACCACAGATAATTGCCAGCAGCTTCAAAACATTCCTAAATACAGGATAGTCCCTTGCAGATTTGTCCATGATGCTTCCCAAGATAGCCCAGAATTAGAAGTGCAATTTGCTCCCTGCCTCCTGAGATGAGCACACATGTGAAGCTTTATCTTCCCCCCCCCCCCCCAAGGGAATCTCACTGTCACCTCCTCACCTTCACAAGGAGGCACATTACGGCACGGTGTTTCTTCCACCACTTCCAAGCTTTGTCCTTCCAGCTGCTTACATTGAGGTTTAGGTTTTCCCCAAAAGGTTACATTTTGTTCCTTCTGGTTCTCTCCTACCACCACCTTTCTGCAGAAGAAAGAAAAAAAATAGAGAATCAGAGCCAACATCCCAGAAAGATTGAATGTTACATTTTCTCATTCACGCACTAGCAATTTATAATGCCTTTGTAATATCACCGAGCCAGATATAAAGCCTATTTGTAAGGTGGCTCAGATGATAGAATGCAGTACTGCAGGCTACTTCTACTGACTGCCGGCTGCCAGCAGCTTGGCAGTTTGGGTCTCACTGGCTCAAGGTTGACTCAGCCTTCCATGCTTCCGAGGTGGGTAAAATGAGGACCCAGATTGTTGGGGGCAATAGGCTGACTCTGTAAACCACTGGAAAGCACTATGAAGTGGTATATAAGTTGAGGATTAAACAACAAAATTACATGGAAACCCCGAAATGGTTATCGACGTTGGAGATGTTCGTGCATCCGAATTTTATTAATTTAGGGAAAGTAATTACTTATAAGGAGATACTAAACAAAAGAGGTGAACTAAAATCTAGAAGAGAATTATATGAGGAAGGAATAGAACTGGAATGGTGGGCTTACTTACAAGTCCAATCACAATACGTAAAAGACAAAAAACAATGGGGTATTAAGAAAGAACCCACAGAATTAGATAAAATTTTACTAGGTGAAGAGGAGAGAATGATTTAAAAATTATTCTGATTCTTCTCATTCAGAACTGGGAGCTGCCCTGCCAAATAGGATGCTCTGACCTGGAAACAAAACTGACAGCTTCCTTTCTGCAAGTCCAGCAATTATTAAAGTCCCACGGGGGAACCAGAAGTCTATTAAAGAATGTAGCAACATTCTCAACGTGATGCCTACCAGGTTCTTCCCATTAGTTTGGCTCAAGAAATTGGATACTACGAAGGCAGCCTCTTCCACACGCAGAAACTCCCCAAATTAGCAATGTATTCCTGTACAGCAGTGGTTCCCAAACTTGGCAACTTTAAGACTTGTGGACTTCAACTCCCAGAATTCTCCAGCCAGCTCTGCTTGGGAACCACTGCTGTACAGTAATACTTCAGCCCAGGGGAAACGATAGCATTATCCTTCACATTTCCATAAAGTACTTAAGGGGTGCAGAGAAGGATGCACGAAAAGCATCTCTCCCAAATACCCCCAGACTACAGCTTCCCTTGTGCCTTTGAAATTGAAAGAGGATATTTCAGAACGAGATGCAAAGGGCATAAGAGCCAGAAGCCACCCAAAATGTTTCTTCTTACTGGACTTCTCCAAGATGGCACCTTCCAGCACATTGGGAATCCTGAGAATTGCAATCCCCATCAGTCCACTTCAACCATTTGGAAAGGTTCCAAAGGAGAAAAAGCTGCTGTGGGCAATTTTTAGGAATGCTATAAATCCTCGGTCAGAATGTGCTCTTCATACATACGAGGGTGTGAGCAGGATCTCCTGCAGGATGGCAAGTGCAACTGAATGACCGTTACTGAACTAACTTCACACAAATAAGTAGACTGAGTTGTAGCGACAAATATCCAAGAGTTAAGAACTAGATTAAAATTTTTAGTGTGGACCTAACCCTTGGGGAGGGGCATTAACATTTTTATTGAGTTATAAGATAAAATAAGATACAAAATATGAAAGTAAATAGGAAAGCAGTGGGGAGGAAGAAAGGCAAGAGAAGTGAGGGAGGATAAGAGAAAAAGAAAAAGAAACATTGACTTCCAACTCTCTCTATTGCTCTAAAATAAGACATTAACTTTTTGTTTTTTCCTAGTAATATAAGCTAACCATTTCTATAAGGATCTATCAATCTAATCGGTAAAACCCAAAATCAAAGTTTCATTCTTTTCTACTTCGAGCGCAAAGTTCAGAAGCGGTAGTGCAGTCCTAACCTTTGACTGAAATTGTTCTTATTTTATTTTTATTTATTATTTATTTATTTTATTTTTATTTATTTATTTTGCTTTGTCAAGCATGTATGAAAACAAGTATAAGTATGAATATAGCATTTAAACATACAGTAGAAGTATAAGCAGGTATACATTATACATCAGAAATGAGTACAAATGGGGAGAGTAGGACAGGGATGATAGGCACTTGGGTGTGCTTATGCATGCCCCCTTACACACCTCTTAGGAATGGGGTGAGGTCCATGGTAGACAGTTTAAGGTTAAAGTTTTGGAGGTTTGAGGATGTAACAACAGAGTCGGGTAGTGCATTCCAGGCATTGACTACTATGTTGCTTAAGTCATATTTTCTGNGCCGGTGAGATTAGAACCGCTGAACTGCAGATAACAGTCAGCTGAAGCGGCCTGCAGTACTGCACCCTAACCACTGCGCCACCTCGGCTCTTGTACTCGACTTGGAGTTCCCCTTCGTGATGGGCCTGGGAAGAGCCACCTCTGGTGGGATGGCTGGGGTATTTTGATTGCCAAGCCCTTGAATTGCGATCACTAGACAGCAGAGATGCTGCCAGGGCTGCAATTACAAGGACTTTCAAAAGCCCCCCCCCCCTTTTAGCATTATTGTGACCTTGAACACTCGCCGAAAGGATGGTTGTTTAAAGGGGGCTACCTGTAGACATCTCCTCTTTCTTACAGTTCAATGAATTGGGGAGGTGTTTATTATTTGCATGATTTCCAAAAGGTATCTCTTGTTCTGGACTGGGGAAAAAAATCCAGCCCCTTTTAGCAATAGCAATAGCCCTAAGACTTATACACCGTTTTATAGTGTTTTATAGCACTCTCTAAGGCAGTGGTTCCCAACCTTTTTTTGTCCATGCCCCACCTAAGCATCTCTAAAATCCTGATGCCTCACCCCCACCACATAAAATTCTTACTTTACTCAAAACGTAAGCTCTACTGATGCGGAGGAAGCCTAAAAGGCCATTAATTTGGTTTAAACAAGGTTCAAACTGCTCCTATTAAAAATCAAATTGCCCCCCCTGTGGGCCCTGGGCCCCACATTGGGAACCACTGCTCTAAGCGGTACTACGGAGTCAGCGTGACCCGTATGAGATTCGAACCGTTGAACTGCAGCTAGCAGTCAGCAGAAGTAGCCTGCAGTACTGAACTCTAACCACTGCCCCACCTCAGTTCAAATCAAGATCACTTAGGTCAGAATAATCATCCCTCAACATCCCTCATCCCTTTAACTACTGTGTCTTTCTCCATATAAGAGCTAAGGACCACGAACAACCCGTTCCAATCTGTTTTTAGAGATCAGAAGAGGAAGGAAGGGGGGGGAAAGAGGTCACTTAGAAAAGGGGATATGGAACCATTGCCTTCCCACTGACGCTGCAATACATAATGCATTCCTCATCATTGGCCAGAATGGGTGCAACTACTTGATAACTGACCTTCAGAAAACATCTGGAAGCAGCACGTTGACCTAGTCTAAATGTAATCTTAGACAAATAAAACCAGAAGTGAATGTTTCCTAACTAACCTACTTCCCTTTCTCCCTAGCTCTCCCCAGCAAAGCAGAACAATGTGACCTCCAATTTCCCCCGCTCTCAAAGGCTTTGTCCATGGACCACCAGCATCTCAGCATCCTTCAGTAGAGCAACATCTCCCAGGCAGACAGTCAGAGAGGCAGATGGGGATCTCTAACCTAGATTTTGATATTCAATGTCGTTGACCTGGGGGAGTCCTCTTATACCCCTGTAGCAGCCTGTCCTTCCTAGGACCGGCCCCCAAAATCATGCTCGCCTCTTTCCTTTTGTGTGTGTGTGTATCTTGGTAGCCTACTCTGTTCCTACACCCTAGACCTGTCTTAGAGATCTCCTTCCAAATACCTTGGTGGTAGCTGCACTCCTGACTCTAAATCCATATATGTGAAAGCTCCACTCCAAATAGATAATTTCTTGCTAATCTGCATGAGTGAAGAATCTTCTAGTTCAGCATTTCGGTTCCAGTAAAAACCAGCTGTGTGTCTCACAAGAGGCAAGACGTGATATTCTTTGTCCGTGCCACGTGTTACTTGGGTATTGCCTTTATGTACTAAGGTCCAAGGGCTCAGTGGCTAAGACGGTTCAAATCCCTAGCGTCACGTAATGGAGTGAGCTCCTGTTACTTGTCCCAGCTTCTGCCAACCTAGCAGTTCGAAAGCACATAAAAAAGTAGAAAAATAGGGGCCACCTTTGATGGGAAGGTAACAGCGCTCCATGCACCTTGGATGTTTAGTCATACCAGCCACATGACCAAGAAGAGTTCTTCGGACAGATCTGGCTCTTCGGCTTTGAAACAGAGATGAGCACCGCCCCCTAGAGACGGGAACGACTAGCACGTATGTCCGAGGGGAATCTTTACCTTTACCTTACTAAGGTCCATTTAGTTACCATCTGTACCAGTGTTTTTCAGCTTTAAGATGTGTGGAACTGACCCTCCAAATTTCCCCAGACAACATTAAAGTTGCCAAGCTTGAGAAATCTCTTATCCGTATCAGTAATCATCTCAGAATCCTTTGGGAGTGAAAATGGCATTCCCCAAGCAGAAGAAGGAGGTTTAGAAGAACCTCAGTCTAAGGAAGAGAAGACAAATCTAGCCCAACAATAACTGAACCAGTCATGATCCAGGAACATCCTCAAGAAGGGAACAGAAAACTGGGGGAAATAAAAAGAGATTTCCTAGAAAAAGAAATGGCATGGCTATCCGGAATCTAGTGGATTTCCTTGTAGATCCTACCTGTTATAGCAATGCTTTAGCAAAGAGTGTGCAAGGCATCAGTGTGTGCATAATAGCAATAGTACTTAGACTTATATACCGCTTCATAGTGCTTTTTACAGCCCTCTCTAAGCAGTTTACAGAGTCAGCCTGTTGCCCCCAACAATCTGGGTCCTCCTTTTATCCACCTCGGAAGGATGGGAAGCTGAGTCAACCTTGAGCCTGGTGAGATTTGAACTGCCAAATTGCAGGCAGCTGGCAGTCAGCAGAAGTAGCCTGCAATACTGCGCTCTAACCACTGTGCCACCTCGGCTCTATAAGAGATACACTATATTGCCAAAAGTATTCGCTCACCTGCCTTTACTTACTGTAAGTGATATCCCATT